ATTGTGTGTGACCGATTGAGAAACAGTATCACTACACTGTGACTCGTACACAAGTCAAAACAACGAAAATACTGTGATTACAAAGTATGTTTGACAACATCATTTAATATTTTCAGATGTAAGTTACAGAACACAGCTGAAAGCAATATAATTATGGAGTTATTGTGGTTTAGCAATAAAGTATTATCTCAGATAAACGTAACTATAAGTGATTCATTGATTCTTTTGCAGTAAATAAATATATAATATTGGTTATGAAATATTTGAAACCCTACACTCTTCTTCTAGCCTGAAGAGAACCTTCTATTTTCATGTATATTTCTCACATTTTACGTACGCCTAATAAGTTTTACTGTTCTTTCCGACTAAATTACGAAATATTTCTATCACTAATACGTATACTAGAAAAATATATCCACGTATGCAGATTGCATGTAATAGATTATTCTTAAATATCAGTGGGAAGAATTTCCCATACATAGTGTTAGCAACTATTACTCACACGAATAAAAATCAAGAACAACATTGTTTACAATGAATTGTATACACTTTTTGAACATGTCACTACCATAACATAAATTGTAACAAAGACAAAAATTTAATTTTTCATACATCTAACTTTCCTTTCAAAAGAAATATTTTTTCCAAACTAATGAAGATTACGCTACATTTCACAAAGTTAGATGAGATTAAAACAACTTTTAGTATCATGTATTCTCTATGCGCTTTTACAGTGCTGCTCTCATTGTCATTAATTTTCTGTGTTGAATCTTATGGATAATAGTTGAATAGCCGAGCTCGGTTGAAGCGGTTGCCATCGCCAAAATTAAAGTTCTTTACATTCTCATAAGAATACAAACATGTTGAAGTGACAAGTAGCGCCAAATGACAGGCGTATAGCGAATACGTCTGTACTAATCTCAAACTAATGCATAACAATTTTTTTTAATACAGCCGTAACATAAAATAATGACATAACATTACCTTTTCGACTAACTTCTGGAAGGTAGATAAAATATGCTTCTGATTAGATTTACAGAACTCGTTTTGAAAAGTCCTTTGATTCTCTCTGTCCATTTTTTATAATTTTTCTCAGAAATTTACAATGAGTGTTGGAAAAAATCCTTGTCGTAGTGCTATAATTTAATAGATGATAACATTAAATCCTCTGAAGTTTCAATTTTAGTTGAATTTAAGTTAACCTTCTGACTTCTGAAGTAGATGATCTACAAAATAAGTTTTGTAAAGTTAAAAACAAAATTTTTTTTCTTATTTCCTTTTTTTTTAAAAACTACAAGGGGCCTACAAGAATGGACTAAAAGAATGGGTCTTGGCATTGATGGTTACACGTTACTGCATAAAGAGATCCTTTTCACTTTCTATATGCAACAAACACAAAAATTACTACAGCAGTCGTGCACAAACATAAAAAATGTTTTCACGAATACGTTACTTCTTAATTCGTCTTAGAGAAGATACAGTTTTAAAAAAACGGTTCGACAACCTTTTGCTGATACCTTAGGAAATCGTATTTTTAATTATCATTATTTAAAATTTCTTTTAAAAATACTTTATGTGTTTTAAGGAATTATACAACAATATGTAAAAAAAATTATTATTCAGCTCCTTATTTTNCGTCTGAGACAACGAGTGGTTTTGCATACAAATCTTTTCCCAGCTGAGCATCGGTGGGCTTACCCCACTGTTGTTCTAATGATGTTTTGGACAGACTGTAGGAGCTTCTGTGAGGACATCAAAACGGAGCATGCGATGTTGTATCGCAAACTGTAAAAATACAACGACCAATTCATGTGATTTAGAGTTCATCCATTTCCATTTAGGTGTTTTAAGGAATTATACAACAATATGTAAAAAAAATTATTATTCAGCTCCTTATTTTATTTTTATTTTCTTTTTAGCAAGCAAGCCGTTTTCGATGGAAAGAAGGCCATAAGAGGAGGGATCCCATTCGTCTTTCGTAAGTATAATTTTACACAATGAAACAGCTACTCTAATCAAACACAAAAATTTTGAATACTCGTACTTTTTCTAAAAAAATAAATTGCCGAATTAATAAGAAAACCTATGCTGTTGAATATAAGGCATGGCTAAATGCATTGATCACTAAAAAAAGAAATGTAACTACACCACACGTAAAATTAGATACAATAAAAATTTACTTTGATGAGATTTAAAAATTTTGTAATTAATACTTTGCTCTTAAGAAAGCTCTGTATCCTGTAAATACGTAAATATTAAATCAGTAATAATAGTGCTTGCAGAAATGTAATCAAAATGAAGTAAACGCGAAAATAATTTTCTCAGCTAAATATTTATGTAGCGCACACTTTTTATGACTTTTTTAACGAGTTATTAAATAATAAATCACTGTTGCTTTTCGTAAAATTCAAATTTTTCGCAGCAAGTTGTACTGCTAAAACGCATAGAGAGAAAAAAAATAATAAAAATTATAGAGAAATTCCAGCAAAAATTACCATTCCGAACAATAAACCAGATGCACGCTAGCAAAAAAGGAATGGTAGTTTTCCTACGAGTTTGAAAAGTCTTTGTTTGCGAACCGAGAGGTTTGCGGCCCGAGCCGAAGGCGAGGGACGTAACGAGGTTCGTAAAGGAGACTTTTCGAACGAGTTCTGGAAAACTGCTTTTTCGCCCGAGGAAGTACCAGCCTCTTAAAACCACCCGAGGGCGGAAAATGGTAGTTTTCCTACGAGTTTGAAAAGTCTCTGTTTGCGAACCGAGAGGTTTGCGGCCCGAGCCGAAGGCGAGGGACGTAACGAGGTTCGTAAAGGAGACTTTTCGAACGAGTTCTGGAAAACTGCTTTTTCGCCCGAGGAAGTACCAGCCTCTTAAAACCACCCGAGGGCGGAAATAGTATATTTCTTACCTAGGGCGGAAAGTACAACTTGCGCGCCCGAAGGGCGCGGTTGTTGTATGTTTCTGCCCGTGGTGAGAACGACATTTTTTGTATAAAGTTGCACTTTCCGCCCGTGGGGACATTTTCCACCCGCCAATTACTTTCCGCCCTACGGCGGGACCAAACTTTGGGCCCGGCAGGGCCACAATGTTTCTTTCCGCCCGTGGGTGGAAAGTAATTGGCGGGCGGAAAGTGTGCCCTAGGGCGGAAAGCACTCCGCCCGAGGGACGAAAAAGTTATTATGTTTAACAGCAAAAATGATTGTTTTAACAGTTAACATTATGGTTCGAAAAGTTAAAATTATGGTTAAAACAGTAAAAAAAAATGATACGAGAAAGTAAAATTTACTATAAAAAATAAAAAATCTTTTTCTTTTTTGCCAGCTTGCATCCTATTTACTGTGCAGAATGGTAATTTTTTCTGGAATTTCTATATAATTTTCGCTATTTTTTTCTCCCAGTGTGATAAGCAATACAGTGGATATAAGATAAGCAAACAAAAACTGAGAAAATACTGAAGGTGGAAAGATCCACCTATATTTATTCATTTATGTAAATTTTTAAATTGTTTTCATTATAACCCAAGAACCATAAAATTTACGCATTAAATAATTGTTATAATGTAAATACATATCTGCATATAGAAATTATATTAACTTAGAGTCGCCTGGGGTCAATACTAACGGATACTCAAATGAACCTTGAGCCAATCGTCAGTATTACTTCATTTAAAAAAAATAATAATAATATCTTCGTAAGCTCTTTTAATAGTTATTTCAAATAAAGGCTTTGTTAGGGTGCACACTTTGAGTTCAAGTGAGTTATTCATACGTTTGAACATTAAAATGTTCACATTAAAATAACTAGACTACAGCAATGTTAATAACCGTTTAATAAGAAAGTATATTCATCTATTGTTAACTAATATAACATATCTACAAAATACATATGCCAATTTCTAACGTTGAATCACGAAGGCTAAGATAAAGTAAGGTATAGTGAGACATATTATTATTCTTAGTTTGTGTTAAAATATCCGAGAAGCTACTATTTTATAACTAGAAATATGTCATTTTAACTATTAGATATCCATTTTATCTATCGATTTGAATAAAAATTTCAGTAAAAGTTTCATGCAACATTGTCGCTTATATAACAAGCAATATTTAATACGTATGTATCATCAAATTTACAGCACATATTCGCTCCGAGCCGACGCAGAGGTTGCGCCCTCTGAAGCTGATATTTGACAACTTTTCTTGCATGTAAACAAACGAAGAAATATATAGTAATACACTTTAAAAACATCATTAGCAGTAATATTTTTTAATTTCCTATAAAAGCAGCGATCATGTCACGTAAATAATTATGCAAAAGTCTTCATTGACCTTAGAAAAAATATTATTTATGCGATTACCTTAAACAAGAACATATTTTGTAGGTAATCCTCCTTTTAGCAGTATAACCTTTAATGTAGGAGCTTCTGTGAGGACATCAAAACGGAGCATGCGATGTTGTATCGCAAACTATAAAAATACAACGACCAATTCATGTGATTTAGAGTTCTATCCATTTCCATCAGAAAACCATGCAGCAGAAAGACGTAGAAAATGGTTGGAAGCGATGCAGCCAAAAAACACTGTTGGTTCTCCGTGGGAACCAACACCTTATTCTCGTATTTGTTCTCATCATTTTGCAAATAATAAAAAATCAGATGATCTTCTGCACCCTAGTTATGTTCCACAAATTTTTGATGAAGAAAGCAGAGTAAGGGTGAATGCAGCTGTTCATAGCTATGAATGTGATGTAAAACGTAAACATATTTCTGATTCTGCAGCTGCAGTTAATGATGCGCCAGTTAAAAAAATAAATCTGCAGTCAAATAAATTTCAAAACATTACCCTCAGTAACGAGCCAGAAAAAGAAAAAAAAAACATTGCATACAAGTAGCTAACAAATCTACTCAAGTAAGTTTTATTCAGACAGTTGAGCAAAAAGAAATTTTTTTGTGTAATTTATTCAGTGGTCCAGTGTCATGTGAAGCTCAAACTCAAATTACATCAGCAATGGTAAAGAAAGTTGAAAATAGTGAAATCTGTTCGAAAGGATTTCATGGATTTGTAAGCCTGTCTAATACGAATCAATTTGTCGATCTAGCTAGAGTGATGCCTCAAGTGTTCCAATTAATGCTCAAAATTTTGTCTCCAACAACGTTAGACTATAGCCCTAATAGACAAATCACCATTGAAAATAGACTTCTTCTGTTTTTAGTAAAAATGAAAAGTGGAATGACGTTTTCTGCAATTGGAGTACTTTTTAACATGCATAGAACAACAGCTTCAAAAATATTTTACTGCACATTAGAACACTTGATTGCTAAATGTCAACATTTCATTTTTTGGCCATCAAGAGAAACTGTGCAAGCAACTATGCCAACTTCCTTCAAGCAAGAGTACAAGAACTGCAGAATAATTATTGATTGTACAGAATTTGAGGTGGAACAGCCAGTTTCTATAAAGCAAAGAGTCCAATTTTACTCCCATTATAAGAAGGGATACAGGGTTAAAGTGCTAGTAGGGTGTACTCCCTCAGGATTTATTTCTCTTTTGAGTAAGTGCCATGGTGGACGTGCCAGTGACTCCCAAATTACTATATCATCTGGTATTTTGGACCTTTTAGAACCAGGAGACCTTGTACTTGCAGATAAGGGATTCCCTCAGATTAAAACTTTGTTAGATGATTCTGGAAGAGATGTTTTAGTTGTAATGCCTCCTTTTTTAGAAAATAAGCATTTTACTGCAGAAGAAGTTGACAAAACCCGAGCAAAACCTATAAAGTGGCAAAAGTAAGAATACATATTGAGAGAATTATGCAAAGGATTAGAACCTACAAGATTGTCGACAAGTTTACCACAGAAATGCTTCCTTATGCTGATGATATTATATTTATGTGTTGTGTTTTAGTAAACTTGCAACCACCAATCATTGACCAAAAAATTTAAAGAATACTATTTTTTTATTAAGTAAATAAATAAATTAAATTTTTTTATTGTTATTTAATATTCAGTCTTTTATTTTCACCTAATTTACTGAATCAAACTTGACTTATTACAAATTTTTTTTGCACTTATATTTAATTGATTTTTTTAAGGCATAGAATTTTTAATTTACATTGCCGACATATTTGATTTAACAAACTAAATATCAGAGACATAGTTGTAACTTAACTTCATTTAATATCACAATTCTGCTGATTCACGTTTTATCAAAATTGTTTTACATTGTGTATCTATGTAAAGAAGTCATTGTTCAACTTTAGAGTATACTGTAGCTGTATCAGCTGTAACTCCCTTTTTGGATTTTTGTTTACAATAATTGACTAATTCTGGTAGGAAATTTTTTATATAAAAACATTCTAATTTGGGTATTACTTCCATTAAAAATTCTTCATCTCTGTATACACTTACTAAGCAGCTCCTCTTCGGAGACCAAACATAGAGGTCACATTCACTCAATCCCATGGCGTACATAAGTACCTGGCACTGAGTGTAGTACTTGTGTGAAGCTTGCAAATGCATTTTGTCATTATGCAGATATAAGTAAGGTACATTAAACTTCTTTTCCTTATTATTAAATATAGGCTTGTTCCGACAACTTATGGGACATTTTATTTCTAATACCTTGACAATGCAATCTTCATAAATAACAACGGCATCAGGGCTGGCACACAACCAGGGCTGTTGTGGCATTACAAACACTCCAATAAACTTTACATCTTGTTCATTTTTGAGAATACTCGTGAATCGCTTTCTTTTCGTTCTTTATTCCGTACTCCAGAGCTTCACTTTTTTTGTTTTCCTTCTGAGAAAGAAAATCTTGGACAAGTTCATTTTCAGTTTTTTTTGTTCTACTTTTTATTCGATGAGCTTTTGAACTAGCACTTATCCTCACTTTTCTAACTTCAAACCATTTATCACACTCACTTTGCTTTACAGTTTCAATACAGATTTGAATGATGTCTAATTCTTGACGACATACATGAGTATCAAAATAAGATTTTACTTCCGGATCACTGATTTTAATATTTGATGAGTAAGTAGTGCTACTCATTGACAAATGTACCAAACAAATTGCACTCCCCTCTATCACACTATTTTCACATTTAGTGACGGCATGATGTACAATATCTTTTAAAATAGACTGTACAATTATACACTGTTCACTTCTATTTTCCAATTTCAAAATTTCTCTCAATGAACAATTTAAATCTAACAGATCCTCTACTTTAACATAATGAGGCTGAATATCGCAACAAACACTTGATTTTTTTTTAAACACGTCTGAGACAACGAGTGGTTTTGCATACAAATCTTTTCCCAGCTGAGCATCGGTGGGCTTACCCCACTGTTGTTCTAATGATGTTTTGGACAGACTTCTATCAACATTAACATACTCTATTAAAGCAGAAATATGCTTACATTTGTGTCCATCAGCTGTAACACATGTGCATGATGCATGTGTGACATATCTATTAGTGTCTAACTGAAAAAATATGCAATTCACATTTTTTTTTTTTTTTTACTTATCGTCCATTTACAAAGATCAAAATTTTCACCTCTAAGCTCACTTTGTAAGGATGTTCAGTGACACTGGTTGTTCTTATAACACTGCACCTTATTAACCTGCAATCACCTATTCCCTTTACTTCTTCTACTCACTGAACATGGGAAAGAGATAGCATTTTTCCCTTAACGAGTTTTTGAGGCTCAAAATTTATCGAATGAGTGACGGGAGAAAAACCAGTCCGAATTACAACATCCATCATTAGGTATGCTTTTTAAAATGAGATTTTGACATTTGTGAGATATATATGTATATCACTACTCTTTGTTTACATGCAAGAAAAGTCGTCAAATATCAGCTTCAGAGGGCGCAGCCTCTGCATTGGCTCGGAGCGAATATATAAATGTTGGATCAAGGTTAATCACGTGGTTTTTAAAGCGAGAAAATTCAAAAAATACATGTTGAGAAATCAAACGTAGATTAAAGGAAGGTAAAATAATATAAAAAAGATAATTTTGCTTGATTATAAAAAATTAGTGTTTGCTCAAATTGGTGGGAGAAGCCCACAGGGACAAAGCCCTTAGTCATAATAAAAAAAGCATCAATTACCAATCGATTGAGCAACGAAACTATCAACATTCTCTGAAAGAGATTGATATTAATTTTTCCGCTCAAAAATCTTCCCTATTTTTTCTCAAGATCCTTTCGACTCTCATTAATACCCGCCAAACTGGCGAGGAAGAAGAAGAAAGAAAAAAAAAAAAAAAAAAAAAGTGTGTAGAAGAAGAAGCAGCAACAACAAAAACAGCAACAGCAGCATCACCGATGCGGGGCGCTTATATACCGGTTCTCCTTTTCGTGTCCCAAGCAGTAGGTATACGTAGCAGTGTGTTACAGGCCTACCGGCCTCTTTTTCGCATACTTACCATCTTTAGGCTTGTACATAATAACACGGACGAAACATAGGAAGTGGAGGAGAGAAAAGCCGGGTCGGAAATGCGTTCCTCCTCTCATTCACTCGCCAACTATACTAACCATCGCCGATGTTGCTCTGCACACCCACGCAAACAGCCAACGACGAAGGCGACAAGTGTGCGGTGCGTGGCATGCAAATATCCGAGAGGGCGAGAGACAAAGACGACCTTCGCAGAACTTATTCAGCCGTGAGGAGGACGACGCTTAAGAAGAGGACTCCGTAGTTTGGAGATTTTTACCAAAGTCGTATACATATATAACTACCGGTGGGCGACGATGCATTAGGGTCGTGTTGTTATTTTTCACTTTCGAGCCACTTTTTTCGCTGAACAGTTTTGTTCCGCTCGATTTTTTTTTCTTTTGTCCCACTCCGAGACAACAACAAACGGAACCTATACTAACTTACCCAACACAGTGGGGCTTGGGGCTGGTTCGGTGGTGTACGTTGTTGCACTGCAAACGGTTCAATACGAACTTTCATATCGGTAGCGATTCAGGTGTTTTATTATGACGTATCCATAGATTTTGCCGTGATATAATAAAGATTGAATTTATTTTTTTTAATTCTATTAGCGTTAGTGCGTGAAAATAAAGTGATGGTCTTTTTTTGTTATGCACCACATGAAATGCTAGAAACGCCATCCACATACACGAACAATCAAAAGTTCCTTGCATTCAAACAATGTGTTTTAATGAATCTTAAATTTAAAAAATATGAAGAATGTTATGGGGGTTGTTAGTCCTCTATTAACTAGATAGAGAAATAAGAGAACAACGATTGATACTTAATACATCTGTACAAAGTCAGATTGTAGATACATTTTTCTTCAAACTGAAATCACGTACTGCATTTTCACAATTTTTTGTGTCTGAAAAAAAATTGTGTTTCTGATGGATGCAAAGACGGTCTACAACTAGATCAACGACAAAAAACGCTGATGTTTAAAAGTGAGAATTAAAACAATTACTTTATGTTTTTGGATGTCAAATGTTTTTTAAAATTTTTATAAAAAACTTTCGACTGATGGATTGGGGCATCATTCATAGGTTTCTAGGTACGGAAGCACAAAAATGTCAGTTTTGCCCAGCATTAGAAACTTCACACGGTTCCAAACTGTTTTTACGTGCGAACTGCTTTCTACGGCGCGGCGGCGTGTTTCTGTTTTCCATGCGGTATACAAAATTCGCCGCACCTGTCTGACTTTTCTCGTTTGTACTACTTATAATTATTTGCTTGTTTTGGGTCAGGGCGGGGCTTTTTGTTGTTGTCAGTGCTCGCGCGTCACAAGGAAAAAGAATCCTCCTCTTTTTCAAAGTACATCAAGAGATAACGTACATTTTTACGAGCATTTTTACATTTCAACTAATGGACTCGTAATGAGTTTCATGAGGCATTAAAAGTATATTAATTTGATATAGTTTGAATAGAAAGGGGAATAATTGAATGAGCTTCAACGCGTAGATTAAATCAAGTTGGAGTACAGTTTGATGGAAAGCTTATCTCAACTGTGTTGTTCTTGCACTTTGCGTATGCACATGCAAAGCAACTCCATAATCGTGACAAGTATGTGGTGCTGCTGCAGCGATTCTGAGGGAGAAACATAACGGGCGAAGCTCAGAGTACTCAAGATGAAGAAAAAAGTATGCGTATATTAGATACTATATCTCTATACAGCGTTTTGTTGGCTGATTGGTACTTTTCGCCTAAAATGTGATTGGAAACGTAAATCTCTCAAAATATCTTTTCAACAACCAACCAAGGTGTTTTTTCCAATAGTTTAGTAAAATTTATACAGCAGCTGAATATAAAATGAAAGCACACAGTGTACATGTGTACGAACAGGCGAAAAAAAAAAATTATTGTTAATCAACCGCATAGGAAAGCTGTGCAGCAGCGAGAAACACTAAAAGCTTACTGCGCAAACAGCCAGGAGAAACTGCTAGAAAGTACTTTTCCAGAGTGCAAGTTTCGAGGTAGTATTTTTATTCTTTATTAGCAACAACCACATCAACAAGTTTGTGACTCTTATATCTTCATTTGAGCATTCATGAAAGAAAAAAAATGCGTGAGAGTCAACCACATTTGAAGTCTAAGAAAACACTGGAAAACCGCGTAACAGAACGCGATAACAAAGTATCTCTTCAAAACACACATAGAGCAACAAGTTACAGTGACGTCAATTATCTCGGAGCCGCTTGATAAACGTAGCGAGAAACGTAGCCCTCTCGCTCCCATTCCTCGAGAGCTGACAATTTTTATTTAAGTAATTTTCCTTTTTTTTTTTTTTTTTTCATTTTGTGGCCCACAGCCA